ATTTTTAATCTGTTTCTATTTACAAGTTGGGATTCTAAGCTGAAATAAAATGTCCAATGCTCGTTTCAGGTCATGGGAAAACAGATAACAGCAGCATGTTTCCAGAAGTTGACAGTACTTGGAAAGTATGTTAAAGCTTCTTTCACTTGCTGTTAATTCATATTTACTGGTATTGTATTTTAATATTTATGGACTTAGATGCATATCCACATTAAAGAACCAGAACTTTGTGTTGTTAATACTTAATATTACCCAACATGTGGAGTCTTGCAGGAAATATTCCAGTTCTCAACTCTGTCACAGTAATCTCTCTCCCTTTTAAAACATATTATAAACAAGTCCGGTCAAGTGTATGTATGTATATCTTTCTAATGCTTTTTTTAAACGACCAATGTTATTATTATTAGCACTCCTTTTCTCATCCACCCCAACCACCAAATCAACTTTATTTCCCATTTTATGTATATTGTATGAATGTGGTTTAATTAAAACACCTTTTTAAAATAGAAGAAAAATGAAGATGCATGTGTGTATGTGTGAAAATCTTTCACAATAGTTGTTGCCCTTTGGCTGTTCATTAAAGCTAGAAACTGTTTTTTTGGTAAAACAGATTTTAGGCTGAGAGGATAGTGTTTCAATCCAAATTGATGAAAGTGTTCCTTAATAAACCTTGTAGCAACTTTTTAATGTCCATGTTAAGCTGACTGCTAAACATTTGTGTTGAAAAGTCCCACTTCATCAATGTGGATGAGTTATGATATTTATAATGGATGGACAGACCCACCCTAGAGGCCAGTTTTATAGGATTGAGTTAGGTTTGACCCAAATTCTAATATGATATTAGAGCCTATTCAAAATTCATCGAGTTACTTGCAACCAGGCCACTTAGGTCACACTCCAGCTCCCCAGTCATGTGCGTGAGGAACTTGTGTTGAGCAGCCTGAGACAAATTATTTTAAACCTTCTACGGGCGTTGCTTCTGTAGGCATATCACTTCTCTCCATGTTTACCTCGTTTGCCTTTATTTAATTTGGAAAAAATCTCAAACCCACTCTTCATTATCCATGGTTGGAAAGGAAAAAAACATTAACTGCATGCTTACCAAAGAAGAATGGATGTTGATATAATATAAAAGATGCCTTAGAGACACACACTACTCGAACAAAGCCTCTTCCTTTTAAATGTTCATGTTCCATAGATGGGTAGTATTTGCATTAAGCTAGATGTTTTGCACTACGTGAAACTATTTTAGTAACTAGTAATTAACACAAGGTCTTAAAGGTGAATTTTGCTAATCTCACTGTGCTTTGCAGACTTTCAATGAGGTTCAGAGGCTACTGAGTAAGACCAACGGAAAGGTGATTGGTGAATTAATGACCACTGCCCCTATGGTTGTTCGTGAGACCACCAATCTTGAGGATGCTGCTAGGTTCTTCTATCCTTTTCCTGAGTGTTTGTTCATTTTAAAAAACATGTTTTATTTTTATGTTGTTTGCATTAGTATTTAATTAAGCTCACCGTAAAAATTTCCTCAAACCTGTTAATTTGTATGCGGACGTCAATGTTTTTTAACTCACTAAAAGGCCAACATTAGCTGAATATTGTTCTTCAGATTGTTGCTGGAAACAAAGTTTCGACGTCTTCCGGTTGTAGATGCCGAGGGTAGATTGGTACAGAAAATTCTGTTCTTCTGTTATCTTTGGTCTTTCTTCCTTGCTTTCATGTTTGTAATGGTTAATGTTTTTTTAATGTCATATGAAGGTTGGGATTATCACAAGAGGAAATGTTGTAAGAGCTGCACTTCAAATGAAACGTGACAGCCAAAAGAAAGCATGATAGGATCTAGAAGACCAATCCAAAAATTTGTTGCTTGGTTTAAAGCATTGATTCAATTGAAGTGTTCACACAAGCTTTACTTGGATTAGAAGTAAAATTTTGGTTTAGGCATGTATATGTTATATTATTATATTGTTTTGGTATAACACAGAATGTTTGTCATGGACAATATTTAGAAAGAAAAATCCCAATGTTCACATTTGACAAGGACCACTTGGTGATAATGATGTTGAAATGTGAATTTGTTGTACTAATCATGTTCCACGGAATAAGGATAAACTCCAGACACAAATATCAACAAACATTAATCTTGCTTCTATTGACTACTTTATATACTAAAATAAAATCTTTCTAAATCTTTTATGTGGTTGAGCTGAAACGATGATAGCTCTTGCTTGGCCCATCACGTTTGAGTAAACAGACTGGGGCCTGTTACTTTATATTTTACTATAAAGATAATTAAGGGTCTTTTCAAAAATATTTTTTGTTTTAATTTACAGATAAGAATGTAACATAAGAATGCAAGTCTATTTGTATTTTTGTTAGCACATAATAGCAACAGATTTTAATAATTAAAGTAAACATTGTTTTGAAAAAAAAAGTGTGATTGAATTGTTATACAATTTTATGACAGGATATTTTTTAAAATATTATATAATAAAATAGATTTCAACCTCAAAAACCTTCTTCTAAAATAGACCTTAAGATTTATTTTTTGCACTCATTTTATTTTTAATCATTCGATTTTTGTAAATAGAGATAAAACTAATTTAGTTTAGAGTATGGTTGAAAAATATGACCAATAACTATGTCTATGCTTGATTGTACATATGGAATTTAATCAAAATTGATTTTGATTTAAAACTGAAATTTGTATTTTTAAAAATTGAAGTGTAATATTTTTATTGAAATTTATTATTTAATTTAATTTTGTAAAAATATATTACTAAAAAGTATTTCACATTCAATTCATTTTTTAAGATTCATTTTTGATTTGCTAAGATAAAAATATGAAATTTTGTCTGTATGAGAGAACTTTTTATCTATATACAAATGATCACAAATATTAAAATATTAAGTTTTAAAATTTTCTATTTAAAAATATTATCTCTATTTTTTTTTTCACATTCCTTTTTATCACTTTTTTCTTTCATATATTATTTTTATCTATTTTTTATACATGTTTTAATATCTTTTAAATTTTTTTCTCACCCATATCTTCTCCATCTTATTTTTCTCTTTTATCTCTTCTTTTTCCATACTCTCACTTTTATCTCTACACCTTCTTCCTCTAGTTTATGTTATAAAATTGACCATCAAATAAAAAAGTATACAATTTTTTTTTATATATTTGTGATGTACTAATAATTTTGCAATTTAAATGCAATCTTAATCAAAATTAATTTTATCTAATTAATTAGCAAAAAAAATCAATTATTAAAACTCAAAAACCAAACACACGCTTATTTCAATTAGGCTTGGATATACTTCATGTCAATTTATTTTTCGGTTCACCTTTAAAAAAATCTTTGTTTGTTACCTAATTTTGACCATTCATGTCATTTTGGTACCTTTCATTTTAGAAAAAAAAACATCTTGATAAACGAGCTTTCGTTTCTTGTCCATTTCACCAAGTTTTCAATTTAACATTTGTCTTTTACCATATCCCCACCTTTCTGTAATTTTTTTTGTTCTATCTATTTTGTCCGTTCAATCACCTATGAATCTTTGATTAACTTTTCATTAATTACTATTAACTAATTAAATAACACCACACTTACGTCAAGCTCGATGTAATCCACAGTACATTCACCATAACCAAAAATAAATTGATTAAAATCTCTAATCCTCCGCTAATGATGGATTAATCCTATTCCTTAGCTACGACATAGAAGGGCTCAAGATAGATAATCCAATCCTATTATGGGATACAGCTCAGATCAGACTCAAACTCAATCACTCAAATAAGAAAAAAAATTCTCTTTGATTAATTAATTAATTAACCTTCACATGGAAACATATCTTTGTGTTAATTTTTCTCTTCTTTTTATGATTAATTTTTTATTATATAGTTTTCGATACAATTGTTGTATGAGATATTATATTGACTATAAAAATGAATAATTTGTGACGACAAAACCGATTAAACCGACCCCATTTTCCATCGTTATCAAAACAGAAGAAAGCAGTGGACAGAGCATTTTCGTTACTGGCCCATTTCATTTTCTTTCTTTCCCTTCACAAATTACATTAATAATCTAAAATGGAAAATAGTGAACAACCAGAAAAATACCTAACACTCAATCTTATCACTTTTTTTAGTACTTTAGTGGTTAGCATGGCTCACTCTCTCCTTTGCACCCAACTACTTAACAACATAGGCCATTCATGTCCTACCATTTTTTTATTTACTTCAAAATTAGAGACTAAATTTATAAAAAAAAATGTTTTTAGGTTTTTGTATTCGGTGATTTTAAATTTTATTAAAAAAAAAAATTCATCATTCTCTTTGGGATTAAAATGACTGAAATTTTACTCTCAAAATAAATAAATGAGATGATATGTGATGTCTATACACAATCTTATATTTTATATCTATTTTATATCTGATGTCCATGCCCAATCCATCGTGTTCCCAACTTTAATAATTTCAACCCATTTATTTACAAGTGGAAAACAATATATAATTTTCAAGAAAAAAACAGAATCAAAATGGAATATAAAAGAAGATAAGAAATTAATCATTATAGCCCAACAAGTGATGAAGCTAACAAAAGTGAAGGATAAAACCATTCCAAAGAAAGAAAAACATCAAAGAAACATAAAGTTTCTCGTCACTACTACTAACTAATAATAATAATTATTACAATTATTAATTATTAATTTACATTTAACATTTTAACAATGCCAAAATTTCTTCTGTAAAATCTTAATTAAAAAAAAGTACTAAAGAAAATTAAAAATAAAATTAAAAAAAAAAAAATAGAAACAGTACTCTAATCCACACCACCAACCAACCAAAGGCTTCATCAACAACAACATGAACTTTTGCTTCAGCCGTCACATAACCTCCACAGCGCACGTTAGCAACAACCCCAAACGCGAAATAAAAAAAAAGAAGAATCGCTCTTTATTTTTTTCCGATTCTTCTTCTGTTTTTTTTTCTAACTAACTTCCCATTCACAATCCGAATTCTCCGGTTCAGGAATCTTATTCAAATCAACCCGCTCTGCTAAATCACCGCCACCGCCACCACCAACCACCACCGGCATCGGCATCACACGGTGGTTATGGTTATGGTTATGGTTGTGATGATGATTATGGTTATGATTATGATGATGTTGATGAAGCGTAGCTTGAAGAGCATCAACCCTAGCACCAACCTCAGTAGCTTTCTTCCTGATCGAAGCAGCCGACATATCACCACCATTAACAACGGCAGCGTTTTCGCCGACCAGAAGCTCTGGAAAGTTTAGACGAGCGGACGGTCCTCGGAGATAGAAAACGGCGGTGTCGTAAGCTCTCGCGGCAGCGACCGGGGTAGAATAGGAACCTAACCAAATTCTAGAACGTTTATTCGGTTCCCGAATTTCAGCAACCCATTTTCCCCACTTCCTCATACGAATTCCTTTGTATCTTCTCTCACCATCCACAACGACGCCGTTTCGCTTCCTTGTCGTTCCCATGGTTTCTCTCTCTACTTTCACACCTTCACCTTCCATTGTTATTTTCTCTCTCTAGAATTGTTTGTTAATGGGAGAGACTAGAGAGAGTGAATCTTCATGAAAACTGAAAAATCTAACGAGTAAAAGACACGGTTGAGTTTGTAGAGAGAGAAACTCTTATTATTATGCGACTCTCTCTCTCTTTCTCTCTCTATCTCGCACTAATCTTTGTCATCTGGGTAAGCCTCCACGTTGGTTTGGTTTTTCTTTTAAACTCAAACTTTTTTATATTTTAATATTAAATCGATTACCTATAAGATAAATACGATATTTTATTTTTTTTTATTATGGAAATTTAATTCACCGACAAACGCACTCTCTATTTGTTTTCTATAAAAACAAAATGTCATATTGATTGTTTATTACATTTCCCTTCGGTTCTTTGTATTTACTCCTTACGTTTGAAAATGAATATTTGCTTTTGATTTTGAGTTGGTACAGAAAAATTTGCATTCAAATTAAACTATATATTTAATAAGTCAAAGTTACTGACACTTTTCTAAATTTAATTCAATAATACTTATATATTTTATATCATACAACTATAAAATAAGATAAGTTATTTTACACAAATTATATTGATTCATCCTTTTAACAACATTGCAGGAACACTTGTTGTTCATGTTTGTACATAGTTTTTTAATCTCAATACAAAACGATATTAATTACTAAAAGTTCATCTACACAGCAACAAAATTTCAATCGAAAATCAAGACATATCCACATTTTGATATTTAAAAAAACTATTTTCTTTAAAATACAAATTAAAGATCCTATTGTAAAAAATTTCCATTGATTTATGTTCTTAAAGAATAAGCTAACAAGATCATATATTCTTATGGACAATTGTTAAATTATAATTTAGTGTGTCGAAAAGATTTGATTTGTTTTAGATTTAAATAGATTTGATTTAAGTCTAAAATAAATTAGATTTAGTAACACAATAGATATTTTGGGCTTTGAACTTTGGATGTAAGCTCAGTTATAAATAGATAAAGTAATCCCTATTTTTTGTAAACAAGTCAAGCAAGCTATTCACAGTATTTTGCCGTTACAAAGTGAATAATAAAGTTTTTACAGTTTTTGAGCGGAGAGAAATTCTGCAGAAATTATTTGTCTTGTTTTCTTTTATTTATTTTTCCCATAACTAATCGTCATTGTGGTAGAAATTCATCATAGATTTTGGTGAGTTTCCAACATCTGATATCAAGAGCTTTGTTTCGATTCGAGGGAAGTGTCAATCAAGAACGATTGAAGAATTCACGATGACAAGTTATGAAAATACAAACTATCCAGCAACGCTACCAATTCTGAAAGTTGACAACTATGAGAATTGATGCAAACAAATAAAAGTCTTATTCAGATGTCAAGGTCTTTGGGACCTTGTAAAAGATGGAGCCGAATCGCTTGGAGAAAACGCTTCAGAAGAAGAAAAGAAAAAATACACAGAATCTAATAAGCTGAATTATAAAGCATTATATATTAAAAATGATACTTAAATTTTTTTGATAATTTACATTTGAGATAAAAAATTGCCATATGATATTAGATTTGATGTTAGATTAGTATTTTTATTTTTAAATATAATTTTTGTAAAAGTTATTATAAAGTTCAACGCGGAGAAATTTATTAACTATTTAATTTTTATTTTTATTAATTTAATTTTTTATAATCTGATAAATATATAAACAATCATAATACATTTAGTATTTGATTAATTTTATTATGTATAGATATATTTAAAAGATCTTTGAATATGTCATAATTTTTTTTAAACAATATATATTTCAAAATTATTAAACAAAAAATAAACTTTTTATTAAAAAAATTATGCATTTAACTTTTTAAAATTTAAATTTTATCATTTTCAATATACAATTCTACTTTTCCCCCTATTTTTACCTTTACGAGCAAAATCCACAATAAAACTTTTTTAAAGACTAAATTATAGTTTTAATTCTTTTATTTTGGATTTTTTTACAGTAAATATGTATTAAAAAAATATATAAATAATCATGTTTCAGGAAAAATTACGTAAATAACCATGTTTCAGAAAATATGTGAATGGTGGCGCTAAGTAAATTGGCGCATGCACTCAATTTTTATAAGGATGCGCCAACTGAGATGGCGCATATGTGCAATGTGTTTGCTCTAAGTCATATCAGATGACATCTAATTGCTTTTAGGGGTAGGGGCAAAGTGATTTTTTTTTTCTATTTTAAATAAAAGACAAGTGCGAATCGATATTGCATAAGTTCGATATTCATTCATAACCATACGAGTACATAATGAGAGTAACAATTACATTTTATTTAGTTGTTCCTCCCCGGTACTTGATAACGACCCCATGTTCCGCACCTGCGTCCCCGCCTTATTCTTGGTGCATTTTCGATGATTTTCCTGTTGAGTTTGGGTCGAAGGCCCAACGTAGTCAACGCGTTCAGGATCTAAGAAAATCCGTCAGATCAGCACATTCGAAATATTCGCTTTTAAAAAGTCGGTTATCCATGCCCTCAAAGTTCCATCGCATTGGTGGTGGGTGGGGTTACATGGGTGGTCGATAGCAATGGTCGTCTGAAAAAGTGGAATTTGTGTAAGTAAAAGAGTCGTGTGGAGTTTGGTATTGAGATTGTTGGATGCTAGGGTTTAGGGTTGGTTGATGGTAAGATGGGTTATATTCTTCAGGTTCTCCTATATCTGGACTAAGGTGAGATGATGAGGGCCCCACAACAGAATGTTAGATGTATTGTCTTTGTTCAGAGTACTAAAATTGTGTGTGGGGCATTTGGGTGTATTGGTATTGAGGTTGGGATTGGGGTTGGGTGTAAGGCATATGAGTGTACTAGTTTTGAGGTTGGGATTGAGGTTGGGTGTGGGGCATGTGGGTATATTTGTATTGAGGTTGGGATTGGGGTCGGTATTTAGGTTGGGATTAGGGTTGGTATTGAGGTTAAGGTTTGTGTCGTCGTGGTGTTTGATGGGAGGTTGATGTTTGTTGGGTTTGTTGTTGGGTTTGTTGTTGGGTTGTTGTTGGGGGTTTGAGGATTGTGCCCATTGTGTGCGTGGATTGAGCAAATACCTCGGGTGAGACACATGCATTTTAGGGTTAGTAACCGACCTGTACCAATCCATATACTGATTTATGTGTTGCATATTACTCTGGTTGAGGAAAACAGGAAATTGTAAGATATGAAGGTGACGCCTAGCCCACATCTTGCACCATTCTGGAGCAAACTCTTTCCAATTATTAACACCCCATTGGGCGTCCACCCTTTTGAGATGCCAAGATGACAAACAAGTCGGATCAGATGGTATTTCTTGATGCATTCCAAAATGCATCTTGACATGGTCACTGTGGTGCATCTCCACAATGTTGAACCGTATGATTGCAGTCTTTGTCGTCCAAACTACTGCATCCTCAGGGTTGAGTTCATGCTCCAAATTCAAATATGGTCTCCAGATAAACTGTGGATAAAAATTAATTAGAAGATAGAAAACTTTAAAAATAATTAATTTAAAATTAAAAAAGTTTAGAGGTGCTAGGTACGTCATTTGGGCCAAGGTGATCCAATAGATTACGATACAGAGTGACATTAAATCTTGGATTTTTGCTATGATCCATACCCCTTACACAATACCTAAAGGAATGGAAAAAAATAATTAATTTTCTTACATATATTTGGCAAAGAGATGAATAAAAAATTATTGAAAATATTGCCTTACTTTGTTGCGTAGGGGAAAATGATAACATTGTTGTTGACGGGGTTAAAGGACTCCATTCTCCTTCAACCCCATGCTTGAAGCAAGAAAGCGCATCCATAAAAAGTACATTTGTCTTTTGATGCATTCTTACATAATGAACTGTATAGATGGGCTAAAACAGCAGAACCCCAACTATACTTTCTTGTACTCTTAAAACTCCTAAGCAATCTTAAATACATAAAATTTACAGTATTCTTCGTACTTTTGGGGAATAACAGGCTTTCAAACAGTAGCATAAAATAATTTCTAGCTTTAATTGTTACTTCTTCCTCGGTCGAATTTTCATTCAACTAAAGAGTCTCATAATGTTTTCTAAGTACAGTTAATAATATACCTTGGCCTCTAGCTCCGGTTGCTTCAACCATATCTTTGCCCAACAATGTCTCACATAGAGAATTAGGTTGTTGAATCGATCCATTCACAGCCTTACCTTCGATAGAGAGATCCAATAACATGTATACATCCTCTAGAGTGATGGTATATTCACCTATTGGTAGATGAAATGTGTGTGTCTTAAGTCTCCACCTTTCTAATATTGCAAGTATAAATTTTGAATCAATCATGCAATTTCAAATTTTTATTACATTTCTAAAATTGGCATATTCTAGATATGGAATGATTAACAGGTCGGGCTCAATATAGTGGTGTGAGCAAATTCTAAATCTTTTAGGATCCTAAATTCAAAATTTAAATAGTGTTAGAGTTTATAAGATGAATGCATTAATAATTTAATAAAAAGTATAAATAATATAAAATAATATAAACTTACAAACGACTCAATGTTTTCTTTTATGCCTCTGTGAGAGTCGTCCATTGTTAGGAGAACCATATTCGAAATTGTATAAGACAGTGTAAAATAAGTATCAAAGAGTTGTGGATTGGTGATGTAAAACAAGTGTCTGAGGCGCCATATTTATAGGCGAATTCGTATATATGTGAGTTAATGAAGTGGTTGGAGGTTGCATGCATGCAATGTACGTGTCATGCATGCACCATTCAAGTTGGCGACAACATGCATTTTTGAATGCATGCGCCATTCAAATTGGCATGGGGCAAGCCACCTTGTAGAGTAGGTGGCAGCGTAGGTGGCAGCGTATGGGTAGTGTAGAATGGCAGCATTGGGATAGTCTGATGCGCATGCAAGCTAGTTGACAAGGCTAGTAGGGATGCACCATCCCAGTTGACGCATATGAACAAAATAAGGAGGATGCGTCATCCCAGATGGTGCCTGGTAG